GGTGGTGGCGGGGGCGGGGGCGGGCAGTGCGAGATGTCTCTGTGCGCGGCGCACGTCGGCGAGTGTGGTGACGCCGGCGTCGTCCAGCTCGTGCCAACGTGCGTGGTTCTGTCGGGCGTGGTTCACTAGCTCTGGCATGTCGATGAACCCTGGAAGCATAAACATTCATTGAATTAATATCAACTCATCATAGTTCTTCTGTTCTGAGTAAAAGTGAACAAGGAGGATCATGTATTTACTTTCACTAGATGGGGACACTGTCGAAAAAGAGAACCAACTCAAGACTGTACGGAATCAAAACAGGTAGAAGTCGGTAATGAAAGGTTATGAAAGTGCCACTTACCAGCCCAGGCCTCCATCATGTCCATGATGATGTAGTCAATGAACCCTATCTGCGACCGCGGTATAGAGCAGGTGGCGCGGTCGAACATCGGCATCACTACCGGCAGGTCCTTCGCCTTCTCCTCGTCCGTTTGAAGGAAGTATTCTTCCGCGATCCTGAAACATCAAGGAAGCGATTTAGAGCTTACTGAACGGTACATTAGACAACGCACTGCGGAATAGCATTAGATTATGAATTATTGGATTTTTAATTGTCTGTAATTGTTATCTAGAAGTGGTATACAAAAGTATGCGCTAAAATTAATCCGCAAAAAATGTTCAAATCTGGATCATTTCCGAGATCTTGTAACACTGGTGATCATTTCACAATCGAGGTCCACAGCTTAAAGACTATCGTAGTGGTCTTTCGTAGGTACTACTACTACTACTACATTAAATAAATGTCCAGGCCTCACCTCCTAGCCCACTCGAAAGCGAACTTCTGCGGTCTTGACGCGTTGGATACGTCCGCGCATTTGATCATCATCCTCTTCACCAACACCACGTTCTCTGGCAGTGACAGCGCTGTCGTGTCCAAAGCTAGTGGCTCTTGCTGTAATAAAAGTATCTAGATTAAGGGCCTGTTTCACAATATCTGGATAGCCGTTATCTACCAGATAAATTTGAATTAAGAACGTAATTTGTATGAACTATCTGTCACATAAGTTTATCAGGTACTTATACAACCGGCGCTTAGTATTTTATCTTCTGTTCTAAGTTCTGGTCAAAAAGTAAAGGTTGTTTTTTCGCTTCTGATGTAAATTGTTCACGATCATAATTATAAATTATAATCATTTTCTTACCATCATGTTTTTCAACTACATTAAAAAATGAAGAATTCTTTTAACACGTTAACCACCGCGTAGGTCACCGGTAACCTACGTTAACGGAGGATTTGCCTTCAGGAGTTTTCTGTCGGCAGTCAAAGGCTTTAAAGGTACTGGTACCGAAAAATGGGGTGAATAGCTAGCTTAAGGAAATTTTTCATAGTATCGATTCACCCCTCTTCTGTCCCTTTTCGTAGCTCAAACCCTATTCACCCCATTTTACCGTTACATTTATGACATCCACTCTACCAATCTTGTGCATGTTGTATTTAAGGATTTCACAATAATATTAAGAAAAGTGTTAGACTATATGTTTGGCTGAGTAACTCACATCAGTATGCATATTATCCTCCTTGCTGCCGCTGGACTTGGCGTAGAAGACGTTGACGAACTTAGCGAGATGTTCGAAGTGCTTCGTCATCTCCGTCGCGAGGATCATGTCGATCACATTGTGCCGGACCTGCTTGTACGTGTCGCGTTCCAAGTTCTTGAAGATGTTTACTCGGTCATCATCTGTAGAGAAAAGAATTAGTTTTAGAAGGAACGAGCATTTTTTGCTACTTTTGTATACTCAAAAATATAAGAATGGATTGCTTCTAATATAATTAGCCAGAACTCAGAATCATACAAGTGGTTGTAGAGTAGATTGACGAACGCGATGGAATGAAAAAAGTATTTCAGTGTTTGCAACATAGTTTTCGCCAAGCTTTTTAAGGTTCATAAGGCATGTTTTAAATTTGTACCTATAATTGGCTTTATGTATGTTGCTATGCTTATTGTTATAGTTATCTGGATTAATTGATGGATCTCGTTCATCTTTATATATGTAATTCTTCTGTGAGTGTGTATGTCACTGAACTTCTCTCAAACGACTGGACCGATTGTGATGAAAATTTTTGTGTGTGTTCAAGGGGATCTGGGAATGATTTAGATTCACAAATCAGCCCGGCAGATGGCGCTGCAGTCGATGTTTAGGTTATTTATCCTAAACAGCTGAACTAATTTGAATGAATTTTTGTTTATACATTCAAGTGGATATGCAGGACCAGATCTGTTGGGTCCGCTAGTATTATTATATAAATAACTGTACTAACTAAGAGTGAGCTTGAAGGTGAGTGCGGCGTGGTGCGACTCGAGCACGCTGACGTCGTTGTAGAGCACGGCGAGCGGGTGGCGCGCGTTGCACAGGAAGGCGGACGACGTGCCGGGGTGGTCCACGTCGTGCGCCGCCGCCGCCACCAGCGCCGCCGCCGCCTCCAGCGGCTCCAGCACTGTCTTCAGGCGGTCCTTCTCCAGGAAGTACGCTACAGCCTGGAATAAAAGGTATCCTTTAATATATCGATGATATTTTGTAGGGTTGGACCTAATATACTACCCTAGGGAACACCATAGATGGTAACAAATTATACCTCTAGTTTCATGGTATGTTTAAATAAAACTTTTTTTTAGATGTAGGTGATACCAAAGGTATGTAGTTTATTATGTTTAAAATTTGCTGACCGGGCAAACTTGGTACGGCCTTAAAATTTTATTTCCTTTCCTGGACTTCCAGGAACATTTTAAGAACAATTAGCTAAATCGCTTCAACCGTTCTCGAATTTTAGCGAGACTAATGAACGGATATTCATTTTTATTTATATAGATTGTACAATTTAATGGAATTCAATAGTATATTGTGTTTTAAGGAACAAAATTTACCAAAATTTAAAAGTTACCTGAAGCACATCAGCAGCGTGTGTAGAGTTATGATAAGTATTGACAGCGTGGTAGTTGGTCTCCACGATAGTGAGCCAGTGCAGTAGAGTACGCTCGTCGCACTCCAGCGCTGCGCAGATATCGAACCTTCCTCCCATGAGAGCCAGACCAAGGTGAGCCAGTGGCCTTCCACGGGTCAGTTCCTCTAGCTTGAAGATCTCAAAGTCCCAGCTTAAAGCAGTATCTAATAGCTCTCGGAGCTGGCCTGTCGTCTGAGGAAAGAATAAAGAAGATCTCAAGTTAATGTTAAGTCTTTTGACAATTAGTTTTAGGGTTATTATAAGCCTTTAGCAGATTTGGCTGAATGTCAGTTTACATGAACAAATTGAATAACGCATAATAGACCCGTTGAAGGCAACTCTGTTAAAAACCTCCTTTGTAGCGCGATAAGAAAAATGGCGGTAACGTGGTGTATTCGAGTACGCGTTCGCGGTAAAATTCAAAAATCGAAGCCCCGCGCTCGAGCGAGTTTCGCGCTCGCGCCATTCGCGCCAACAGTCGCCGCCAAAACGTTGAGCGATTGTGTGTGTGTTAGAAACGCTCCGTAATCCCGCCATTTTTCTCAGTTTCTTGAATTCATTGTGGACACATCCCACTCTGTTAGTCTGTTACACCCGGTGTCACATTTTTCGAGTTTCTGACTATTATCATGACATTGTTTTGTCTCTGCATCACCCAAGGGTTCGACAAGTCCAGTTATGTCCTAGTTAAGTTTTAAGTCCATGAAGTTTATTAAATAAATAAATAAAAGATCTACGTCAACAAAATACGTCATATTACCTTGTGCTTGATATTGCTCCTGTTGGTCTGCGACCTGACGACGGTGGAGTCATTGCTGCTTCGACGCGACGACAACGTGTTGGTCGGTCCCTGCTGCAAATTATTAAACAATTATATTTTATTAATATGTTTATATAATAGTTTGACAATATGATGTCTCTTAGACATGCTTTAATAGAGGTTTTTATCTTGGAGTTTATATTTTGTGTTTTATTTAATGCAACTCGATTAATCGTAATTAAGCATGCTTTATCCAGAATTTAATTTAGTCACACAAGAAATAGAGATTCTTTTTATTATGTTCCAAAAGTAAATTGATTAGTTTTATTATCTATGGTACAATTTTAATGTAACTTAAAAAAAAATACTACAAAAATACTTATTTATTGGGAGTTTTTATAAAGACGTCACAATTGAATATTATTCACAATATTAATTGAATGTAATTACAAAAATGGTTGGTTAAATAATATTGTTATTATTGTGTTCTGAAGAGATGACAATGATGATATAAGATAGGAACTAGTATAGGTAGAAATAGTGCTAAACACGATACGTGTAGTGCTACATTCCGAAACTTGGACAGAATTGAAAAGTGGTTACCCAGGGTCCATTTTATATTCATATTTTATTTATTTATTTTATAATATAGGATCTCCAGCAACAGATGTATGAAAATTAATATATAAATATTAATAGGATCTAATCGATAATAAAGCCAATATAATAATAAAAGGTAATAAAACTGAATATCTAATATTATATTGAGTTTAAATAATATTGACACATTTTTGGTATCCGTTTAGGACGGGGTGGGATGAAACTCTTTTTGACATTCAATTTCGTAAACGATTTCATCTATACTTAGACCAAGATCGACGTGTTGTTTGAAAATAAATAACAAAAATCTGTTTGAATCAATAGCAGCTTGTTCTAGGCTCTATTTATGGTATAGGAGGCAAACGAGCAGACGGATCACCTGATGGAAAGCGATCGCATGGACTGCAACACAAGTGGAGTCACAGGTGCGTTGCCTTTTAAAAAGGAATACGCTTATAGCGACATCATACATACATAGGTACATTTGTATCTCGTTTCTGGACAGTAGTCAAAAACGTACCAAACGTCTCGGATAGGAGATTAAAGTAGAAACGTACGTCTTATTCAAGACGATTAGCTTCATTGATTCTTAGGTATTCTTAGGTAATGACTGCACGGTTGGCGAGGTGGTTGGGCAACTGGCTGCCGCGCAACGTGTCGCGGGTTCGATTCCCGCACGGAACAACTCTGATCCACAGATTGTTCCGGGTCTGGGTGTCATGTGTATGTCAACTTATATGTTTGTAAACGCACCCACGATATAGGAGAAAATCCTAGAATTATATTTTTATAGAATTATATTATTACTGGCTACTTCTGCGCGGTTTCACACGCTCTGCTCAGCTCCTATTGGTCGTAGCGTGATATTTTATAGCCTACAGCCATCCTCAATAAATGCGCTATCCAACACAAAAATAATGTGAACTTGTATGTTTGTAAACGCACCCACGACACAGGAGAAAATCCTAAAGTGGGGCAACGTTAAAAAACGTTAAAAAAAAAAATGATTTAAATCAGACTTGTAGTTACGGAGATTAGCGCGTTCAAACAAAAAAACAAACTCCGCTTTATATAGTAGTATAAGGTAGAATCCTTTAAAATACGTTCTATTTAAAAGATAAAGAAAATAATGGTTATCTGGTTCTGATGAAAGTTATGTAAGGTATGGTAGTTGTGCTATGGTAATGTCTGTATGATGTCGCTATACGCTCTATGGTACTTGTGCAGATATCCTTGTGCTACCTCACAGAACTATCACTAAACAGGGTAAAAAAAGTTAAAGTGAAGGAGAGAATCGACGTGACGCAGTTTATGGTTTATTTAAAAACATTTCATATCGATCTTGGTTTAAGCATATAGCCATACAAATCAAATTATATGTAGGTATATAATAAACAATAGTATCTTAACTAAAAATCGCGGGTTTTAAAATTTATTCATGTGAAAATACTGAGAATAGCTCTACTAGTTTCGAACCACAGAAGGGTTCTTCCTCATGGGCAGCGTGCGCGGTCGAGGCGATGTCGCGCAGCTTATCGTAGTAGCCTATGTCGCATAGGCTGCGGGACCCCCTCTGTGGTTCGAAACTAGTAGAGCTTTTCTCAGTATTTCCACGTGAATTTTTGTTAAGGGGTGAAAATCATTGAATGACTGCTCCCGCCTGGGTGAGGCGGGAGGGAGTGACTCAGGTCAGACTCTTACTGACTAAAAACCACCCCGTTCCTTCTCCTGCACGTCGAGCCGCAGCCCCCCGGTAACCCGTTAGGTTCTCCGCGACTCCGAATTTTCACGTGAGTAACCCGCGATTTTTAGTTAATTTAGTTCGTCTCACGATAGTTAATAAAAAACAATAGTATCTTACTTCAAACCGTTATAAAAATGAGCCCTGTGTAATATAAGTGAAAGCGTGAACGATAGATAACTATGTACTATCTAAGTACACTATATTTGAAGGTATAGACAGAGACGGTTGTAATTTCAAACGTCCTACCATATAATATAAGTTTGTATTCACTTGCTCCCTCTGGCCAGCGAACAGGATCGTAAACAAATAAATACCAATGTTAGTACATATATAGACAACGTTACATGCATATAATACTTTAATAAATAATCTACATCACACAGGAATATAAATAAAATATAGATTACAAATTTTCATAAAACATTAGGTGTATTATCTACATAAACTTAATATCATTATAATCTTAGGGACGGTATACAACATCTATTTGTATTGCTTTTTTATTAAAGTGCGGGGTTTTAATATGTATTGATAACATAGTATATATTTAACAAAACAAACACAATACTAATCATTGAATATTGCACTTTAATATGTGTGTAAATAAGGATAATTTCATTTTACTAACCGACAGTAAAGCTCCAATGAGGTCCGTAGCGATTGGATCTTCGACACGCATTTTAGGGTCATCCCTCATTTGTGGAGAGTAGAGCTCGGAGGTCCTCAGCATGTCAACAGCCCTCTCGATATACGCCACCGTCGATGGAGGAGCACCCTCAGTGGCCGTAGACAAGAGCGATATCACCTAGCCAACACACAATTTTAAACCATTTTTAACAAGAAATAAAATTGTCTACATCATCTGAAGCTTTAATGTGTTCTTGTAATGAATGTTGAGAATCAAATCAAGTTGATTCACAGCTTTTTATCAGACAGTGTTGCTGTTCTATGGCCTATCACATAGAGGATGTTTTAATAATTATAATCTGAATCATTGTTTGTCAACACACAACATGTTGCAACGCGACTTTAATGATATCATACGAGTAAACTTAATAGTAAAATTACAAAGAGAATGGAATAGTCTAGAAAGGATAAAACGTAGTAAAATGGCCTGATAAGATAAGCTTAGAATTACAGGTATTTTGCTGAAGTTTGTTTATGTACACTATTTTCTCATTACGGCTATCAGAGACTATGAAAATTTATTGCTCCGAAGTTTTATCTGTAGGTAGAAAGTTGGTAATAATGATACTGAAAGCTGTTCGAATGAAACAAATGCTGTAATATTAATATGTGAACATAAACCGACTCGTATATCGAAGAAAGCGGTTTCTAATGACATAGGTAATAACAATTTATTAGGCCACGTGTGTCACATAAAAATGTAATTTCTTATATAAACAGAGGCACATGCTGTGTTCTTTTAAATGTTTTTAATTGTCTACTGGATATAAGCGGTTACTATCGCGGTCTACAATAGTATCTGAAATCTAAGATTGAATATTATTGATTATCACACCTTTGATAGAAGTTTCCGTACGATACATTTGAATATCGTAAGTCATAGATAGATAATTCAACTTGATGATAGGTACACTTTATAAATATTTTTTTATTTAATATTATTTTATCTTCATACACAATAAAATCTTCACCAAAATATTTACCTTCGTAATGGGAGCTTCAAGCGGCAAGCCTTGGAGCTTAGCAAGAGAAGTTCTCCGCAGGCCATCGGATGCGACGGAGCGAACATCGAGGGATCCTCGCCGGATGGAGTGCAAGGATCCTCTGCCGCGCTCGGTTTCCAACGCGTGGATCGGCTCACACACGAACACCACGTGGGAAGTGCTCCTGAGGGAAGAAGAGATGAGTTAGAAAGAGTAAAAAGATTAGGTGAGGTAGGTTCTTGTATAAAGATGCAGCTATATACATCTTGTCTGAAAGTATGTCTGTACAACCCAGTTTGCGCATGTATGCGTGCGAGTAGACGACAATACCACAGACCACAGGAAAACAGGGCAAGATAGTATAGGTCGCACAATCCGGAATGTTCTGTGTTCTTGTACAGTCATGATCGCCCAGGTTCAAACAAGATCGAGCGTGTAGCCGGACCATAAAGTCAAAGTCAAAGTATTCACTTCAATTAAACCATAATTTGGTACTTTTGGGACGTCAACAAATACAAAATAAATAATAGTTTGTCAGTCAGTCCGTCAGTGAAGCTAGGTGAAGCGTAAGCGTGTTAGTTGGAAATTGCCTCCTTAATTAATTCTATTAGATAGTTTTAAAGTCTCTAAATAGATACCTGACATAAATCACAGTAAATTAAAAATAATGGAAGTGAAAACGTACCCGGATGGTTATTCTAAGTAAACTAGTAATGAGTAATGAGTATCTCGGGTTCTGATCGTGATAGCTGTGGTCAGCAATGTACGACCACAGGAATTTTGTGTCAACCACACAAACGTAAGTTAGTAGGCATTAGTATCTAAGAATGTAACTCTACTATTGCTACGAAAATCACCCTTATTACTACATCCTAAAAACGTTAATTGTTCACACGTATTAGCGGATATAAATAATGGTTTCATGGTATTTTTAGACCAGGTGGTTTTAGACTAACCCAATGAGTACATCAATTTTTGAGCTTCATTAAACAAGCAACAAAGCAGAAAATATGGATCTGATTAATAAGATACTTTTGATAAACTGCTTTCATTTGGCAAGTTATTTGATTGTAAGTAAAATTTATTATAAAGAACTTACTTGGTGAGCCCAATAGCAGCACCTCGGCAGGGTACCAGGACAGGATCTGGAGCGGTGCGGCGGCGCAGTGTGACGGGAGCCTCCCAGTCACGAGCTCCACTGGTAGCCAGCCTTATGGCTTCGCCCCCAGCAGTGTCAGATAGCTGCTTCGGACCTTCCTCCACGCGCCATCCCAGGACTTTAGACCAGGACTTATTCGCCAGCTAAACAATAGACGAACACGTTTTTATTTACTTGTATTTGAGGCTTCACTTACACAGCATCACAGCACTGTTGATTTTATCACCTTTTAGATTTGCCTCGCACTTCCAGACAATATAGCTTGAAAACTAAATAATACCTAAATTGGTAGAAACAGCAAAAAATTTTTTTAAACTTTGTTGATAGACAGAAATTAAACTTAGCACAATTTATTAGTACATTGGAAAATATTCCCGCGTGCTCACATGCGTATACGCAGCGGCTCAGCGATAGACTAAGGGCCGTTACAATTATATTTGTATATTTACATCGTATAATAATATGGTTGTTATTGTATATAAACAATGTTTTTCCTCTGTCGTAATCACGCAATTTATAAATATTATGTGCGGTGTACCTAATCATACCATATTCAGTATTGATAATAATTTATTGGCTGGTAATTTGAATTAACCTGTCATGGTACTAAAGTACCTCAACTTGTGAAGTTATTGCATAACACCTTCCAATTTCAATATAGTTCTATAATTATTTGTGTTGTCATGTTTATTATTTGTTTACTACGAAAATGTTGCAACCGACAATAAATAGGTTTTTTGGATATGCTGGTGATATCATCATGATAATAAGCTAGAATATATGAGAGTTTCATTATATTCAATTGTGTACTTACAAGTATCTTCTGCTGTTCATCAGTGACGGCAATGAGATCTCGGCAGCGGTCGGCTGCGGCGGCGAGCGCGGCCACGGCTGCGATCTGAGCTCGAGCTGCGGATCCTGCAGCTCGCGACTGCAGGACTTCAGCGCACCACGCTGTAGCGCTTAGAGTCTCCACCATTATCTGTGAAGGATTGACGAATTACTTAGGTGAAGTAATAAAACTATTCCAAAACTCCTTTCTAGCTGTAACGACGAGCAATATACCATAGTATACCATATACCATAAACAACTTTGATTATAAATGTTCTAAGAAAGAGCACACATTTTATAACAAACGCATTTAATGAGCCCTACTGTATTTTTACTCACCAGATAGCGTAGATATACTAAGAGAATTTTGGCCAATGACAGCAGCTGTCAAATATTGAACGTCCAATGGTGTAACACTAGCTAATTCCCTATTGGTGGAGTAACGAAAGGTTTACACTAGTACCATGTAGTGAGCAGAAATAAGATAGGCCTAATTTGTTGGTTACTACATGTTTGGTTTTGAAGGGAATTAAATATTACAAATATCCTAACTAATGATATGATCAAAGTATTTTCTACCAATAGTATGAGATTACTTAATAGCTAGTGGTGCCTCTAGTGATACTGAAAAACCTACTAAGCTTATGTAGTTTTACGACTATGTACAAAAATGCAAATTATTATTTACTAACATATTCCGGGTTTGAAGTTGTATTTATCGAAGATTGTTCATGATTTCACTGTACTGTAACATTTACAACATGAAAATCAATTTTTGTATTCTGTGAAAAGAAAATTAACGTTGGTTTTCTTCCTTCAGTTTTCCGAATTATTAAACTATCTAATCGAAACAGGCGCCAATAACATACATACAAATAATATCAGTATTCAGAGTTATCACAAATAACAAACTCACACAAACATAGCAAGCAAAACAAGAACCTGAGCTACAGAACGGGAAATAGTTTCGAATTTAATGAGGGGGTCGTCATGTGATACGAGTTCCGATAGGGGTGCTGCTTGCACAGTGACTGATTTAACGCGTAACAAGCAAAAGAGGCCCCGCGCGAAAGGGCCCCGTAACTAAACTTATTTCTACAGCTTCTTTGTTTCCATGGAGGTAAAGGGACCCGAACAGCTATTTCAACAAGTCCCAATGCTCAAATAACTAATCCCGAAAAGGCTCATTGTCGGCCCAAATTTCTCAAATGTTGTGGGTGTGACCATGTGCGGTCCATCGACCGACACCCACAACATTTAACGGGCAAACGAGCAGACGGATTACTTCATCAAGTCATCCATCTGCTCGTAGGCCGCCCTGTCCCTACTTACAAACTTAGGTTAAGGTATGATTCCAGAGACATCTAGAAGCCACCCAGAGAGGCCTAGAATTGCAATGTGTTGTAAGGCCGAGGACCTCTCAATAGAATTTGCAACGGGTCCCGCTCCTGATGAATCCGTCACTGTACCTACCTTCATACAAGTTGTGAGGACCCAGAGATCATTACTCAAACTGAGGGACGCGAACTTTATAGGAGGATATTGTTTTGATTTTGATATCCATTGTCAAGTCCAATTAAAAAGTTACATTGAGGAACAATACATATCTAGTATAATGTTTGATGATAAAATATAAAATTACATTATACCTTTTGGGTTTTTGGCTATTTCATAGAACAGAGCTTGATTATGACAGTTTATGCAAATCTACGAAAAATAGTAGAATCAAAAATATCATAGAATATTTTGTAAAAATTTTTTTTGAGTTACAACTTGTTAGTTATTTGTAATCAGCACAACATTTCTTCAGTACACACAAATACTCCTACAAAATAATGTTGCAATACGTCATAAATTTGCATTGGAAAGAAGGCAACCGACTAAACAAAGAGGCAGAATATACCGAGTTCCATTCAAAGTCACTGAAGGGAAATTAAAGATGACAACTGGCAACCCCATTCCTAGTGTACAATGGCTTCTGATTACGCGTGTTACTGGGTCAGTTTCCAGCCGACTTTCAAGTTAAGTGGTAACATTTGCATAAACACACTGCTATTAGTCTTGGGGAGCTCGTTGCAAAGTAACGATGCCGTAGACTAAATCGGTCTTTAGTTAAGCTACTTTTACTGATGTCAGTCTTTAGATGAGTGACGGTTTTTCAAATCTAGGAGCTTTTCTATGATAACTTGTAAAGTTGGCTAGTATCCTTAACTCGTCAAGCACCGTCATTATAGACACAATTAAAGAACAATAGGTTGCGGTCACCGGTGACTGCTTGGTGTTTGACAGTTTAATAACGTAGAAGATAAGTACATAATTATATTTACCATTTATATTAGTAACTATAAATTATTAAAAACTAGGGACCCGCCCTGGCTGCACACGGGTGCATACGTATAAACTTTCCTTAAGATTCACTCTATCTATTTAAAAAAACCGCATCATAAAAAAAATTAAGCATAAAAAAATCCGTTGCGTAATTTTAGAGATCTAAACATACATAGGGACAGACAGACGGCGGATAGCGACGTTGATTTATACTATGTAGTGATATTCAAAAGGATTGGTCTAGGAGTCCCTGTAAGCATCTACGTACGAATACTCTTTCAAAAAGCTAAACTTCATTGGCAGGAAGCTAGAAACGCATATTTCGAAGTATTAACGCTTACCACCAGGACGTCGGCACATCAAATATAAAAAAAAATTCAGCATTAATAGTTAATTTCAGTAAAATTATGATATTTAACCAAATCTAGTAAATACGTTTTTAAACGGCCTGAAGAAGGAAAGGCATACTTTAATACTATTAGTTCAGCTCAATCTTCTTTTGTAAAATCACCATAAAATATGTATCGAGGCTAATTTTCTTTAGTCATGTTAATAATATTGTCCCTTGAACACGGGATTTTACGCATTGACGTTTACTGAAGGATTTTTACTATGAATATGTAGTTGTTTTCTAATTTTTTGTTTTTCCAAGTTGTTTTGTAACCAATGCAAGGCTAGGGTAGGACTTATTGTGGTTGAATAGTTATTTAGTTATGTAGATTCGTAATTAGTTGTCGGAATTTACGGCTTGTTTTCGGAGAAGTTTGACGTTGATTGACACGTGTAGTGTAGGACATTATTCTTATTTTAAAGAGTATTAAGTGTTTTATTTTTTTAAGAATTGTCGTATTCTAACAAAATAAATATAAATGTGGCGCCATCTAGTAGAGGCTTTGGGTACTATATTATGTTTAATCTATGCATAAAATAAAAATTTGACAGTTCGTTACCATCTACGGTCGTTTCATTTCTACAAGAATAAAGGACATCACTTAGGTCGTATATTCAGGCATCTTGATGACCATGGTTTGAATATTCTGTCACATATTAGTTTAATGAAACGAATCGATTAATAAATATGTGAACAAAGGAAAATAACCCAAATCTGTCTTTCATATGAATACTATCTGTAACGCAGGTTCTACCTGTAACAGACACCATGCTCTTAATAATAACTTCCTAAATAATTTGTATTCGTAGAGTATTTTTGAGAAAGTAAAGATTTTTTATCATATTCTTATTATATTTTATAATATGTACTGTTGAGCAATACATCTCTCTCTGACAGGCTTTATAAAATTAATCATTCCGGGAAAGTATTGTGTATTAATGTTAATAACTGAATTTCGAACGCACGTAATATGTAAAAAAGACTTTATTCGGTTTCGGTTCCTGGGGTGACATCAACACCACGGAGACAGACATTTTTGAAGAGAAACTGAAAGAGCTAGCCTTTTTTGAGTGATGAAAGTCCCCATGATTAACCTCAAATACCTAAGTTATTGTTTATCAGGCAGGTATGGGGCAATATAAAAAAATTAAAAGCCCATAAAAAATTTAAGTTTTTTTAACCGACTTCATTTATTTTTTCACCCTTTTCAATTTGTGCACTTTATAAAGACTCACACTGTATATATATACAACATAAAATTTAAATAACTAAAAACTAAAATATTAACATCTTAAAAAAGTATAAATAATAAAAAAAATCCTCATCGCTACCGTGAGGTAGGGTGCTCAAAAGACTGGCAGCATTGCCACGTTGAACGGCAATGTTTAACCTTTGCCCAAGGTAAGTAGCCAGCCCTTCGATCACCTGAAGTGTCAACCATCCTCCTTACAATATCTTTGTAAAGAAGATGTGCACTTGGGCCCCACGGCACTATAGTTTAGTTAGGTATTCATGCACATGCATGCAGTGTTGAATAAATTTTGCTATACTTACTCGATTATAACCAGCATCCAAGTACGGGAGTACCGCGAAGTCATCTTTCAGGTAAACACTGCAACAAAGAGACAAAAATATTAGGTACAATATTTTGTAAAAAAACATTATCCTACGCATCCAAACGCGACGTTTGAGTATACGTGCCGGTGAACGGTATTTCATAAAAGTATTTTAATAGAGAGGTATCAAATATTTGATACATTACTGCCTCATTGGCTGAGTGGTCTCGGGTTCGATTCTCAGGTCGTGCAAAATATTATTGGGATCTTTAAAAATCTCAGTAGTAGCACGCGTTTGGAAATGTGCCCGGTATATGACATTGGACTCGTAATATAAATAATGAAGTGGGTGTTACATTGTACAGTGGCATTAAGTGCCGTAATGTGCACCTCTGCCTACCCCTTCGGGGGTAAAAGTCGTGATCTTATGTACTTGAAACATCTCTATCTGCATTTCCATTGGATACAAAATATACGAAAGCTGAAAACCAAGATTAATTCCAGTGCATCTTTAGAAATTGTCATAAATAAGCACTTAAGTACTTATTAACATTCCTCGCTTCAAGTCATTAAAATATTAAATGACATTTTCGTAGTTTGAAATCAGAAAGCACTGGTAGGAATAACAAGGTTTTGGTTGATTTTCGCTGAATGCTTTCGACAGTTACCTGAAAGTTTCATATAACTGAAGCCCGCATTCGTAATGAATAAGTTCCGGCATTTCAGCAACCTGCAGCAACTCGAGTAGCTACTTCATTACCGAGAGTGTTGCTTTACCAAAATTACTAACTGCCTTATTTAAATAAAGGTTTCAGAAGTGGGATGTTATTTTCGAGGAATTTCTAATGCGTTTTTTGTTGTTTGTACCTAAAAAATTGTTATCATATAACTGTTATATTATAATTACATTTACATAAAAGTACGTATACTTACAGGTACGCGATTATTCTTTATCTGTGGACTAACATTTCTCAAGAATTTACGGCTACTTATCTATCACAGCTGAGAAAATAAGCAAGAAAAACTGCTTTTCCTAACTATTTTTCAACACACTTAAAGCTAACATTACTGTTTCTACCCGATACAGGTACTTAAAAAACGCCATGATTACATAATGAGAACGACGTATACCTTTTAACGTTTCGCGCGAAAACAAAATGGCGTCTAAAACAAAGAGTTAGGAGTGAATGAGTGAACAGAACGAACCAGTCTTCGAGAGTAGTTAATGAATGTTACGGAAAGTTTTTGTATTCAGTAAAAGCTTTACAAAATATATGGAGTTCACTTTATTGAGTTTTCTTTATGTTTATTTACAGTTATCAGGTAGGTACGTGGATGCTTAGGAAAGAGGTATCTAAATTCGTGTTTTAATTATTCTACGTCCGATGCATTTAAACGTGTCCCACCGACTGACTGATGTCGTGTCGATTTAGCTGAATCTATCAAATATTCTAGATTCGTAACAGTAAGAATAAAATAAAAAATTAGGAATCCAATATAACTTCAAATGTACAAAATGACTAAGCCGTGGCCTACACAGAACGCGCAATATAGTCATAAATTAATTAGCACAAATCCTTTGAATAATCGTTCATTCTGCATAAATCCATTCATCAATCCATCAGAGAGAATAGAACGTTTCTCTATGGACGGGGAGCAAATTCCAAACAATATTATCTGTGTTTATTGTCTCCACAGACTTTACAGTTCCCTCCAAAATCGGGTCTGTTCACTGTTGGTAGCTAATGGACAATGGATAGCATAGACTAGGTTGGGGCAGTACGCCAATGGAGATATAACTGACAGGCAAAGACAGGCACTGAAGTATATTATTTTGTACTGAATGTGATTGTGAAAACTAGTAAAGCGAATACACATGACACGATATTTGAATGTTATAATGTACAATAGTTACAGACGGAATAACTATACGAATATTTCTGTTCCATTTAAATAAATCTCCTTCTACGAACAATCCAATTGAATAATTTGTTGCCTGAAAAGTGCTTGTAATTTCAGTCATCGTAATTTATTTTCATGATATAATAAGTTTTTGATTTTGAGTATTTACGGGTAAACATTATGTAGCACAAGTATTTAATCACATTGATACATAAACTATAATTAAATAGATATACATATATAACTACATAAATATTTACCACTTAAAATTAGTTAATTTACAACTAAACTTTTAAATAAAACGAAAGTAAAAAAAGGAAAACCACAAAAATTATAATAATAAATTATTATAATCGTAGGTTTATGACAAAACCTGCTTAAATAGTCAAAATAAAAACTAAGATAACAAATGACCAATTCTTCACTCATCAACACAGACAAAGTCCCGTCCAGATTTCCTTTAAAATATTGCATTTCGCGTTGCACTGTTGTTGCTCCTAGACTATAATAATCCTTGGGGCTTACGATTCGCAGACATCTCTTAGGTATAATCCTGTATATTGTATACAACTGCGAATAACAGTGATGTCCACAAATCTCACAGCTTTCGTCATTGTCACAGTATTTTATCAAAACAAATTGTAAGGATTACCAATCTAGCTCAACTCCTGCGAATAATAAATTTAACTACGTATGTTGGCTTAATTATTTGCATACAGTAATTAATCTTGATAAAAGACAAAGCTGTTTCATACAAGTTTGGAATGTTCTGGAAATATTCGCTTGGTTCTGTTGAATGCTTTTGTTTTAAAGTTGGGCTACGTGAACGGTTTTTCCAACTTTATTCATTTGTCTGCCGAAGTAGTTTTGAATTGGTTGCCATGGTTACTTTGTTGTGGCATGTCCTTTTGCAATTGCAGGATTATTGTAGTTCGTATTTTAAAATTCTGTTTTAACTATGCTTGATTTAATTAACTCAGTAAAAATAAGCACGAATTTTTTAGAAATGGAATGGATATTCTAGTATACTTTTCTTATTAATTAAAAAATATAGATACATTTGAATTCTAGACACAAATTGTCTATCTTTTTTTTTGTTTCAATATATAAATTTATTAACTCCCTCACTTAGCTACAGGTTTTTTTTTGACAACAGGTTTTTCTGGAGAATATGTTTGTAGAATCGATTAACAAAATGAAATCCTAAAAATCTGATTAAGATTTCAAAATAACTATGAGAGTAAAATTAAATTATCCTACTACATTGTGAGTTACTAAAATAATATTTCTTTAGCCATATTAACAAGGCAGTGAGTCGGCAATTACATGTACCTAGACTTGCTATTGGGATTTCATTTATCGTAAATTCTGGCTGGGGCAAGTTCCCGTGGGTGCCTCATTATGTTGCCATGGCAACTGGAATATAGTGTTGTGGTTTTCTGTATCGTAGTAAATTGGTATTGGTAGTGGGGCTTAGATGTACTAACTTAGTATTCATTTAGATACCTTTACTAGTTTAGACTAGTAGTTTTTGTGGGCTCATTTTTGTCATGATTGGTCAATTATTGTTACTTTCTCTACGTGAGAAGAGATCTATTTTCTAAAGTGGGATATTTATTTACTGGGTATTTGATAGTGATTGGCATGTGATAGCTGTTTTTTATTACAACTACAGTTGTATCCGTGTTTTAGTTCATATTTGTCTTATTATTGAGCTACAGATCTTTTCAATGACTTTATAAAAGTGAATAATCAGCGTTACTTTTTGAAAAGGGTATTTCTCCAAGATCCTTGTTTTAGTTAAATAATTTAACTCTTCGCTTTTAGACCTTTAATAAAAAGAGATATTTGCACGGTTTTCCTTGACTTTTGAAGAGTGAACAGAAATCAGGTGAAAGGGAACGAAATACAGCGTCGAATTAAAGTGAAAGCTTTCAATAAAAGATTTAAGAGGTTTTTATTTATGGTTCCACAGACTAAAAAGGAACGATTGCTTTATCGTGTCAATTCGTAAATATTAAAGGCGGGAAATCAAGAAAATGGCGGCTGTATAAGTAGGTAAGTGTTTAATATTGTATTGTTATTAACCTTTTAATCTCCGATGGAGTAGGCAGTCCAGCTTTTCAGTTAAGTATTCAGTGCCATGTAAATCGTGATTAGACCTATTGTCATATAGGAGACGCATTTATAGTCTCTATGATATTAGATACTGATCATTTAAAAAAATTTAAATGGTCAAAAATATATTACCCGTCCGAAATCAAACACGAGATCAGTTAACGAACCGATCAGATATATACATACTGGTAGAAAGGTATATAATTATATATCATCGCAAGTGCGACTGCCGGGCAAGGGGTCTCGGCTTCGATTGCCGGGTCGGGCAAAGTATTACTGGGTTTTTAAAAGTCTCAGTAGTAGCACGGAGTCTGGAAATGTGCCCGGTATATGACAATAGGCTCACCCCCTATTACACGGGACTCATACCATAAATAGTGAAAAGTGGGTGTTACATTGTACAGTGGAATTAAGTGCCGAAATCTGCACCTCTGTCTACCCCTTCGGGGATAAAAGGCGTGATGTTATGTTATGTGTTATCATGTAATATTCATACTAATACGAAACTTGAAAGTAATAATATAAGTTCTTCCACGTATTCCAATCACAATTCCGGATAAATACATATTTCATACAAAGGAAATTACTTCAGAATTCGTCTCGTTCCGATGAATGCCGTAGGCTGTAGGCATTCTGATATGACGTCATATTGTACAATCATTTGCAAAAATATGTAGGTACCTATGTGCTCTCATATTTGTAGAATTAAAAGTTCAATAAAATATTTATAAATATTTACTGTTACAGTCGTGTTTTATGATTTACTTACGACGTAAATTAATGCAATTTCCAAGTTTATAATGCAGTAGCTACTCCTGCGTGTTTTCATCTGCTGCTTGGCTGATCGCAGCATGATGTTTTCCCGAGTGTACGGTGTATCGTGTTCCGCGCGCTCCTTAACGAGCCATCAGACCACCACAAATGGGACCCAATTGGACTGATGTCGATACGGAGCTGCGGAGGACTCAACGAGTTGCTGTGGCTTCCGCTCGAAGCGTAGAATTAGGAACGGGGCGGGTTTTAGTCAGTTAATCTA